AATCGGTTATACTGCGTGAGCATCGGGTGGTATCCCGGTGATCAGGTCTGCAGGCAGCCGTAATTCTCTTCCAAAGTTTGCGAAAGCTGGTGTCACTGCCGTACTTTCGTGAACAGCGCTTCGATATGACAACAAAAACGGTTGTATGTGCTTGTCCCAATCTCGTTGCCGATTGTCTACAACTTTTGCTAGGTACCTCTCCAATGTCTGATTAAATCGTTCCACCATTCCATCAGATTGCGGGTGATAAGAAGTCGTTCTTGTTTTATGAGTACCCATAACTCGGCAAGTTTCCTGGAATATTTGAGACTCAAAATTCCTTCCTTGATCGCTGTGAATCTCTAAAGGTACTCCAAAACGACAGAAGACTTCATGAACTAGTTTATCTGCAACTGTTGAAGCTTCTTGATTTGAAATGGCGAAGACTTCTGGCCACTTAGTGAAGTAATCCATCACAACCATGAAATACTTGTTACCGCTTTCACTCTCCGGAAACGGCACCGTCACGTCAATGGCTATTCTCTCCCATTGTGCACCAACATTGTACAACTTCAATGCACCTCTACTACGAGTCTGAGGTCCCTTTACAGCCCCACAACTTGTACATTTGCGACACCAGTCCTCGACATCCTTTCGACAGTAGACCCAGTAAAACCGTTCTCGGATCTTCAGTAGAGTTCGTTTAACTCCTAGATGGCCTCCTGAATAATTATTATGGGACAGCTGTAGAACATCCGGTACTTTAGCTTTAGGGACAACCATTTGTAAATGACAGCTGGCTCCCCGAACATTTTCCCATTTACGGCACAGAACTCCATCCTGAAGCAGCAAGCTGTCCCACTGGGCCCAATAGCTTTTAGTGGGACTCATCGCTGAGACGTCGCCCCACTTGGGCTTGGGAGCACTGGCCTTCATCCATTCCAGGATCGGCTTGATGTCCGAATCTTCCTGCTGTGCACGTTGTAAGCTGTCCTTCCACTCGTTGCTGAGGTGGTCTGCCCTGAGCATCCTCACGGATACCACTTCCTTACTCTCTTGCCTAGTACAATGTTTGCAATCTTCAGGACAAGGTCTTCTTGACAATGCATCTGCGTTGCCATGAGATTTCCCGCTGCGATGTTCGATCTCAAAGTCGTATTCCTGCAGTAGTTCAATCCACCTCGCAACTTGTACCATTTTAGTGCAGCATGGTCAGTTCGTATGTGAAATTTTCGCCCCAGAAGATATTTGCTAAAATGCTGCAACGACTTTACCACAGCTAGCAATTCGCGTCTTGTGACACAATAGTTCCTTTCCGGTTTTGACAACGACTTGCTGAAGTATGCTATCACGACCTCTTGGTCACCATTACGTTGAGACAACACACCGCCAAGTCCTATATCACTTGCGTCTGTGTCAACTATAAATTCTTTGCTTGCATCAGGGTATCCCAAAATAGGTGTTTTGCACAGACGGTCCTTGAGCTCCTGGAATGCGATATTACAACTTTCATCCCAGCATAAATGTCGCTTCTCCTCGGTTAGCTTATGCAGAGGTTTGGCTATATCTGCAAAGTTCTTCACAAATTGCCGGTAATAGGAGCACAAACCCAAAAATGCTCTAAACTGCGTCTTGTCTTTTGGAGCCGGCCAATCCTTTACAGCTGCGATTTTCTCTGGATCCGTGCGGATACCTCGACACTACATACCCCAAAAAGTTGACCTGCCGTTTGAATAGTGAACATTTCTTCGGACTCAACTTGAGGTTGGCACTCTTAATCTTCATGAGCACGCATTCCAGGTTTTGAAGGTGTTCCTCAAACGGACGGCCCACGATGATGATGTCATCCAAGTAGACCAGACAGGCATCGCCAATGAGCCCGGTAAGTACAAGTTCCATCAGCATTTCAAACGTTGCTGGAGCATTGCACAACCCAAACGGCATTACTTTAAATTGCCACAGACCCTTTCCCGTCGAGAACGCAGTTTTCTCCTTGTCCTTAGGATCAATTTCAACTTGCCAGTAGCCACTTTTTAGATCCAGCGTGCTAAACCACTTTACTCCTGTAAGCATGTCCAGCGTGTCGTCAATTCTTGGCAAGGGATAGCTGTCCTTCTTAGTAACGTCGTTCAGACGGCGGTAGTCAACACAAAACCGCATGCTGCCATCCTTCTTCTTTACCAGTACCACGGGTGAACACCATGGACTAGATGAAGGTTCAATAACACCATCCTTCACCATTCCCTCAATCATGGTTTCCACTTCCTTTTCACGTGCTACCGGCAATCTTCTTGGCCACTGACGGATAGGCAATTCTTCACCTGTGTTTATTTTGTGTTGAACTAAGCCAGTCTTTCCTATGTCAGCATCCTTTGATGAGAATACATCGGCATACTTGAGTAACAACTTCTTCGCTTTGACCATTTCATTCGGGGAGAGAACGCTGCGACAGTCTTCTAAAAGTGTGCTCACTCTCGTTTGTGCATCCTTGCTGGGGGTCCCAGTCGATAGATATTGGCACCGACGTAACCAATCCACTTCCTCACAAGTAGCAACCAGTGTGCCTTTTTCTATAAATCTGTTCCTGGCCACAAAGGTTCAGCACACGTACTCCTGAGATGTTAGTGGTTCTGACCAAGGTTCGAGCCACTTTCCATGGAAGGTGATTTTCTAACCTTTCCAAGAGTACACAACGATGAGGTTGCCCAGGATTTCGAGGAAGACTAACCGGCACAATCGTTTCCGATCTGGGCGGAAGAACAATCTTCTCAAGGCTGTACACGTTCCCTGGTAACGCTCCTTCCACAAAAAGTTTTTCTTGTCCACATTTCAAGACACCTTGCTTAACGTCAATCGCACAACAATTCTTCCTCATGAAGTCTAGGCCCAGGATGCAGTCGTCCATTATATCAGCCACGATGACATTATGCAGGTAGATCATGTTGCCTAGCTTCAACTCCATCTCTTTCTCTCCACGGACGGGTATACGCTGACCGGTGGCTGTTACCAAATTAATGCGTTCTCGGTTGTATGCGGAGTCCCCAAGGAACTGACTTATTAGTTGGGAACTAACAACCGTACGAGAGGCTCCAGTGTCTATGGTCAGTTTACACGGCATTCCGTTGACCTCGCCCTTGATGATTAGACTGTTCCCATCGTGGGTTTGTGAGATCGAGATCCTTGGGGCTCTTTTAACATCAGCCAGCACACGCCCCGCAGTTCTGGCTTTTACTCGTTTCCCTGCTGCTGCTGGGCGGTGCTGTTGGCCGCACTACCCTCCTGATATCGTTCACCTTCCCTTTCTGCGGTTCGCTTAGGGCAGCTGGATCGAAGATGGCCCTTTTCCCCACAGCCATAGCACCTAGGGCTGTATCCTTTGTTGCGGTCGCGAACTGTAGCTGCTGCAACCTCCCTGACGCGATGGGAACGACGATCCTGCCGCACGGCTTCCACCTCCAGTGCATGGGCCAAAGCGTCCTTAAGCGTCTCGTGGTGCCCGAGCCTCACAGCAGCTCTGACTTCCAGGTTGCGGATGCCGTCGATGAATGTCTGCACCAGGTTCCCTTCAATGAGCGCAGGTACAGACCGGTATGCTTTTCGCACCAGCTTCTCCACCTCTAGAGCCCACTCCTGCAGTTTTTCGTTGATGCGCTGCACGCGATATTTTAGCTGGAGTCGAAAGACGTGTTCCAGGTGAGCGTCACCATATCTCGCCTTCAACGCCTCAAGGAGTTGCTCATAAGTCACTTCCTCACCGAGAGCTTCCAGAACTGTTAAGGCCTGGTCGCGCAGGCCTAGTGTGAGAGCAGTCATGGCCTGACTTTTATTCCAGCCATTCGCCTTCATAACAGCCTCGAACTGGATTTTGTAGTCTGACCAGGAAGAGGTACCGTCGAACGGTGGCACCTTGAACCCACGTAGCGAAGGTGTTGTAGCTACTGAGGGAGCTGTAGCTCCCTCTCCAAGTTTGAGTTCGTCCAGTGATTTCTTCATGTCAGCCATTACGTTAACCCGATTGTTTACTTGGTCGATTCGGGTTTCAGCTTTCGCGATTTGGGTTTCAGCTTCCGACAGGCGGTTGTCATGCTGAGCAACCCTATCCTTCACCTCCTTTATCTCCTTCCCGAAGGTAGCGTGAAGGTCCTTCATGAGGAGCATCTGCTCTTCCAACCGACGGGCCTGTACCTCCTGTCCGCCCCGCAGCTGCTCTTCCAATCGGCGTGCCTGTTCCGCCTGCTGGCGAGCCTGTTCCTCCTGTCGGCGAGCCTGTTCCTCCTGCTGCTCTTTCAACCAAAGGGCCTGTTCATCCTGTCCGCCCCGCAGCTGCTCTTCCAACCGACGAACCTGTTCCTCCTGTCGGCGAGCCTGCTCCTGCAGCATCACCATCAGAGCACCTAAGTCAGGTGCTGCAGATGTAGGAGCTACTGACGGGCCTGCAGCCGGCGGCTGACCCTCCGTCGACTGCGGCGTTGCACCACCAAATCTTCTTTGGTCCGTCTCCTGCTGGCGTTGACTACGGGTACGGACACCCTCCGTTTCCTCCTTAGGTAAAATCGGCATGATTTTATCCCACTTCTGACACCAATTGTTACGAGCTTGAGGTTCGTGACAATAAAAATTGCCGATAGAATTACCTAAATTAACACTTTAATTCACTTTAGACTAATTAAAGTTAAAAACACTAATAATTAACCACACTTATTTACTTTATTCCGCTCAGAAGCTTCGCTTGTCTCGCCAACTTCAATACTTCCCCGATCGCATCTTGCAGCGCCTATTTATATAAATTAGCACGGAAATATCCAGAATATTCAAGTAAACACGCGCAAGGTACCGAGAGTTCGAGTTTCAACTAGGCGCTAGTGCCGTCGACTAAGGCGCGTAACAATATAAATAATTGGCATCCAATAAAACATGATGTTTTTATACTTACCTATACTTCATTTGTCTTTATTTATCAACAGGAAATTCTCAGTTGCCGGCTACCAAAAGATTGTGGACGTAACTGACAGAAGCCCTCAATGGAATGGGAGGTATTCGTAAGACACAGACAGATTGGTTAGAGGTTAGTTAGTGGTGCTTCATACATTAAATTGTCCTAACTTTTAAAATTGAAACACTTGGATATTAATAATAATAATAAGTGTTTATTTCAGACGTAAGGAACGTCCATAGATTGTTAGTATGTTAGTAACAATTTTCCTTAACTTCTAAGTTAGTATTGTTTTCAGACATACAAGTTATTAGCACGCAGGGCGAAGGCTAAGATGCGCAAACAGCGTGCATGTATGCAAAGGACTGGAGGTGGTCCTCCAGCAGATATCTGCTTGACAGAACTGGAGAAAAAAACAATAAATATAGAGGGGACATCAACTATATATGGATTGCCTGGAGCTGTGGAAGCTGTAAGTTATTGGCATTAGTTTTTTGTAAGCTCTATATTAGATTTACTTATTTTTTCATGATTGCATCAATCATCACAATTGTGTTAATTTTGAAAACTACATACATTACATATCATTAATATTATAAAGATGTCCTTTTATAATATAAACGGAAAACCTTGATCCTTGACTTGTAAATTTCATACAGGGTATTATTATTGTCCCAGGGACCCCACAGCCCATTGTTGATGTTCCGGATCCTCATGTTAAACAAAACATAGTCATGGTGAGTGTGTTATGGTAATGCTTGTAGCAGTCGTGATATTTATTACCAGTAATGGTCTGATGTTAAGTTGATTTTATTTTGACTACAGGTTTTGGATGATACTCAACTGCCAAAGCCCAAGCAGACGTTGATTTTAGATGCAGTAACAGTTGTGAGTATATTTTACCTATTCACAACAACATTATTATATACATATAAATAAGATTTGTTAGTTTTATAAATAAGTTTAAACAGTGCCCTTATTATGACTTGAGTTCTAATGATTAGATTTTGATGTAGTTTTCATTAAGCGTTATGGTCAATTTTGGCAATTATAGAATAACCGGATTATTAATGGTATGAGTAATAAATACTAATGGTATTCTGAAATTGACTTCATAGTGGTACAATTGTATGAATTTATCCTTGAATAAAACTAAATTTTCGGATTATATCGCGTTTATTTAACTGATTTTACTTATTTTTAATTCCCGACGTTTCGGGTGCTTTACAGCAACCATGGTCACGGGGGGGACTGAGATGTTTGACGTCCCAATGTAATTGTTAGCCCGGCTACCTTCAGTTTTTGAATATTAATTTTTGGTCCGATTTACGCAAAACGAACTTACAGTATCTTGAAGTCTTGCAGTGGTATGCTTGGGTTTGGGTTTAATTTTGTTAATTATAGGATCTCAAGCAGATGGCAGCACCCAACCATCTTCTCTATTGAATTTAGAATGTTCTTTTAATTTCAATAGCCTCGCGTATCATCCTTGGTAGGAATCGGTGTTCTTTTGCGAGGATTTGTGGTTTATCAAATCTGATGTAATGGTGGGGACGATCTCGAACATGTTCACAGACTGCAGACTTCCCAGAGCGTCGGTACTTCACGTCAGCTATATGTTCTTTCACGCGGGTTTTTATGGATCTTTTTGTTTGACCTATGTCCAGACACTGAAGAAGAGCCCCCGAAGGAAGCGGCTATGGTGGACACGTTGACACCGACGGCGAGTCACGATGGGGCGACTGTCGTCACTTCAATGGCGACGGACGCGTCATCAATACCGACAGCATCTCGCGTTGGTCGAATTGCGGTAGACGCGTTGATGATGCCAGCGGCAAATAGGGATCTGGCGACGATCAGTTGCAGTCGTGAACACATCGTGGCCTCAACCCCTGAACAGAACGGAGACGGCGAGGTGCGCAACACTCTGCGCCTCTAGCGCCGCAACGCGCGTCGAGCAACGCCCCGTACGCTCGTGCCGCCAGCCGATTCAGCCACCCCGCAAGAAGATGCCATGATAGCGGCTTTAAGGGAGGGAGCCCAAGCGCAGATGGCGCTCGCCAATGCGCAGACAGAGGCCGCTCGGTATCTTGGCGATTGTATAATGCGTGCCGCTACCATGTTCGTCGAAGCGATCAATAAAAATAAATAAACTATTTTTTCGAAATTAAGTTTTATTCATTTTTTAATTTAAATCTTTAATTAAAACACATCATGCAAAGTATTGTCTTGTGATGTTATTTCGAATATTTCTTGCCACATTTAAAAAATTCATATCCCTGGGAGGATCATCTGCTGGCCGCAATCTGTCTTCTAGAGCCAATTCGTCTGGTAAAGGTTCATTTCTCTTAATTGCCACATTATGGAGAACAACTACAGCTGCTATTATTGTAGATGCCTTCACGGGGTCATAATGCAACGTCCTGTGCTTGTGAATGCATCTAAATCTTGTTTTCATCACTCCAAAACATTTTTCAATAAGGACCCTCGTTTTGGTATGCGTTAAATTATATCTAGCCTCAGGTGTATTTTCATCCGCATCAGCATACGGGTTCATCAGCCAAGGCAGTTGGGCATATCCAGTCTCCTAGAAGCCAATCACTAGCTGAAACTCCGTTAACATAATTGGTTTCCAATAATTGGCTCAAACTGGATCCTTGCCAGACCGCTGCATCATGTGTTGATCCAGGAAAAGTGGCATTGAAATGAATAATTTCCATCTTTGCATTACATACAAATTGGCAATTAAGACTATAAAAGCCTTTGCGATTAAAAAATAATCTCGCTGGCACAAGTGCTGTGTCTTTTGGGCGAACAATGGAGATTTGACTACAGTCTATCGAATCCAAGACTGAAGGAAACCCAGCTATCTGTAAAAACCTCTGTTTATTTTCTGCCCTTTCCTCTTCAGTCTCTGGAAATAGCACCATACCGTTCAATAAAACAGTTATAATTGCGTCAGCAACTTCTTGTAAGCATTTGCTTACAGATGGCTGACTTAAACCTAAGTACTGCCCCTGCCCAACCGTTGTTTGGTAGCCGCCGTGTCCAAAGAAATGGAGTGAAGCCAAAACTTTGATATGCACAGGAATTTCGTGCTGCCTTTGTCGATTTAAATTCTGGTGAAGAACTCCACTAAAAAATGCGCAGTTCTTTTGGAGAGCCTGTATAATGTGGTAAAAACCTCTGCAGATACGTCGAAAGGGTTGGAATGGTCCCGAATATGGCGATGCGCTATCCTTCTCGCAGTCCTACAACGAAAAAAGTTAGGTTATGTTATGCTTATACCTACCGTATACAAGAAAAGCAGTTTCTATAATATAAATTACGTACTCATACCGTTGCCGTTCCTCATTGTGTCTTCTTTGAGAAACTTAGCTTACGTACGGACTAAATAGGTGCGAACTTAAAGAATAACACTTCCTAGACGTATAAGTTCATTTAAAGCCAACGAACTGTCAAATTGTCAGAAACGGAATAGCAAAAGACATGCGTAGACATAATTTAAGTCCGAATTGGACATAAATAGTGTTGTGGACATAATTAATTAACAAACGCAATAGCAATAATTTTAGACTAATTTAAGTCTATTATTCGGCATTATTTAAGTGCGCCAAAGAAACGCAATCGGACCCAATGTGAATATGAATAGACGAACATCTGATCTTACTAGTATTACAGCTCATTCCAATACTAATATTATATTCCCCCATCTAGAATATAGTGAAGTTATATTATTTGCCCTAGGAACATATCAGATTCAACAGGCAAGGTCCTATTATAGTGAACATGTGAGGTTTCACGGAGGGTATAGAATTGAAATAAGCAGAGGAAACATTAATGTAACAAGTATTGTTTGAGAGGAAGTGGACATAACTCACTTATAAGAAGCAAAATCAAATCCAGACACATTTCGAGAAAAGTATATTATGTTTATATATTAATTGAAAATAATGTGTCTGGAAGGGAAGCTATAATAGAGTATTGCCGTAATTGTTTAGTTGGTAGAAGAACAGTTGGGTGCTGTGCACATGTTATGACGCTTGTGTGGTACCTTGGGAGGACCAGGCATCAGCCGACAATATCGCTATTGCCAGCATCACTCCGTGATGTTGTAGTTGTAAGAAGATGTAAAAAGTAATTTTGTCTAGCCTACTTATTTCATTAAAGTACTCCTAAATTCCACCATTACACTTCATTTACTCCCGTAACCCACCATCACTCGATTTTTCAATACATATGCAACTTTAGTATTGAAGACTGAAAGACAGTAGCTATCTAGCGAATAACTCTCTTCTGCTAGAACTACAAAAAAGCCTTGAAATCTTTCAGGAAAGACTTCGTGTGATAATAATTACGTCATACTTGTTTTACGTTATATACTGTGCAAGCTAGTGCAATATATGTAGGTGTAGTTTTTATTGAATTATCGGTCATAATTTGTCGTCGAAACTGTCAACTTCACGAGACGGTTTGACAGACGGCCCTTTTTGACATCGAACTCTAGGAGTATGATGCACATACGTAGGGTGCGCTTTGAGAGATGTTCTATTATTGGATAGTAAAATTATTTTAGAGAAATCTAAATAAATGGAAACGAGATCGCTAATTATCCTCCTCACTTATCGCTAACTACACTTTTAGGCAACATCGCAGTCGGATAAAGCATCCAAGCAAGGTTTTTCATTAAAAATCAAAATGTACCATAAATTGCCTTTAGAAATAACAAGACTTCCATTATACGCGTTTCGACAAGTGACAAAAACATACTTTTTGAATCACGCTTTCTATAATATAGAAGAATATATGAAATGTTCATTTTCTGACTTGCTTGCTATGTAAATGTAGATGTACTTTAATTTGTAATTTTAATAATCTAATGTAATCTAATATCATGTGAATTGATTGTAATTTTGACATACCGATGTTATATTTTAACGAAATGATCAATAAAAAAAAGTAAAAGTAAAAGGTATTTGTTGATTCAGCCTTAAAATACATATTGTTAACGTTATTATAAAAAATCGTGGCTATTTAGATATTATTTTTAAACGTGATTGTGTTTACAACATAAAAACAAACCAATCTAACTATAGTTTGTTTTGGGACATGAAAAAAAAGTCAAGTCCAGCTCCTATAGACATTTGGCCATCCTCCTTTTCACTTAACATCAAGTGAGCCGCATGCTCGTTTGCCCCCTCTTCTATAAAAAAAAAACTACAAGAAAGATATGTGATGATCACTTTGAATCGTATTACAAAACTACAGGTCATCGTTAAACCATAACAGCAGTGCCAACTTTGTCTCTTGAAGGTGATTTTTAAATTAAAAATAATATAATTAACAACATATTATGTATATGTTTAAATGGTAGAATTAGATACTGTTTGTAGGTGTCACATTGATTGAATGTGTATGTGTGGGGGGGAATGATTTTTATTCTATTCTAATTACTTAAATTTAATGTTCACCTCATAGAAACAAAGGGTCAGTGCAATAACTCTCAGCAATAATTTGTCACGACCTTTACCCAAAGTCAAGCATATTTATAAATAATTAATCTGTGTTTTCTATAGATTTCAATTGCATTATTTTTCAGCAGCATTCAAGGAAGACATAAACTTCTCTGTGTCCCAAGAATATATGCTCCTAATACATCCCTGACAGTCATTCAAATCAGCCTCAACCTGTAGAGAAGAAGTTGAGTGGTGAAAGAGGTAATTAAATTCTGTTGAAACTGTTTTTTTGTAATCTTCACAGGGTGGTAATTTGGAATTGAGTACTTGGGGTGGCCACTTAAAGGATATTGTATGTAATACAACATAATAAGTGTACGAAACGTTCTACGAGATTTATAAACTGAATAACTACTTTACTAACGACTAATCTACCATTAGGTACACTGTATGCTCATTTGTCCACTTTTCTCCTTAAAAAGCCTGGTGGTCATCAGATAGATAATTATTAGATATATCATTTATTGCAGCCTGTACTGCCGTGGTGCCAGAGAGCAGTTTGTCAGATTTATTCTTTTTTCAACCAACTTCAAAAACAGGAGAAGTTTCTGAATTCGACTTTTTATTTTGTTACCTCAGAACTTCGACTTTTTTTTTTACGTGAACAGATTTTGATGATTCTTTTTATTTGAAAGCTGGTGCTTCTCATCTGGTCCCAAATAGATTTGATCAAGATCTGAGCGGTAGTTTTAGTTGTCCCTAATACTGTGTATTTAATTCGACTAAATTGATGATGTTCTTATTTTATCTTACCAAATGTTTAATTTTACCAATTGTTTATTATTACAGATTTTGAATGTTCCTCAAACTGTCTTTGTTTTTATATGTTTCATTTTTCTAAGTAAATTAGAAATGTTCTAAGTAAATTATTTTCTTGTTTGATAAACAGCAGTAAACACGGTAAAAAATATTATTCCATTACAAAAAAATACAGTCAATTGTTGCTATTGTTACGCGCCATGAATAATGCCCGGTACATGGCTGGTGATTATTAGCGCCATCTAGTATCAAGTAGCAGAAATAGGAGCGTCAAGTTCTTTCTAGAACTCTCCCACAAGTGCCATCTGGTATCGAATAGAAGAACTAAGCTTTCTCTAAAACTCCACACTCGAATTTTCTACACCTAGTCGGTCGGGACCGGTATTCACTGGAACATTCTAGATGTTTCGGTTGAAAAGGCCTATATAAAGCCGTTTAGGGCTGCGACAAAGGCAGTATTGAATTGGCGACACAAGCGAAGACTTCGGAGCGAAATAAAGTGAACTAAAGTGTTAAGTGTGATTAATTACTGGTGTGTTTTAAGTTTTAATTGGTGTCCAGTAATTAAAGTGTCAATATTGGTAATTCAATCAGCAGTTTTTACTGTCACGAACCTTAAGCTCGTAACACTATACTGCCCTTTTCATTTATATTAAGCAGGTAC